CCTGCTGACTCAGCACTTTATCGGACTTGAGCCCTTCTTGAGCTAAACCCCGGGCTACATCCCACCGGAACCCTGGAAACCAACTGCCTCTCCCCATCTCCTTTCTAGCCTGGGGAAGGCGTCTGCTGCGCCTCCAGACCAGCACTTCCCTTCCGAGGAGAAGTGACAATCCAGTGGATTCCTGACAGTGTTGGTGGACTTTTTCCCTGCCTTTTTCCAGAGGATCCAGGAGCCTCTAGGATGAGTAGGAGGGAGAAATTCCCCCTATCTGGCATTGCGGTGAAGCGCCTGGTGCAGAGGTGTCCTCCCCGGAGCAGGAGGTAAGAGCTGTGTGAGGAGTCGTGGAACCTGTTGTGAGTTTACTCCGTGTGGGCGTTCCTCAGCGGCGATTACATCAGCGCGTAGGTTCCGGCTGCACTCAGGCTGCGCTACTCCAGGGTAACTCCACCTTGCGCTGTCGGGGGCAGGGAACTTGTAACAGTTTCCCTTGTAACTACTAACAGAGAAAAGGTGCTGTTATGTGATGATGATTCCATCTGCCCAGCTGTACTTATCCGAGGGTCGTTCATGTTGGGAAAAGGGGTCCCTCGGAGGTAACACCTGCTAGGTCTCAGCATCAGCTCACCGCAGACCCCTGTCCACATCACAGTTCAGCACTCTGAGTTTTTTACCTCCCCCCAGAGTAAAGCGAGTGGGTTTCACCCACTGGTGCTTCGATTAGGCAGGAAAACGTGGGTGGGGTAGAACACAGACTGCGAGAGCTGTGCTGGGAGCAGGCAGCTCCGTTTGGGAACCAATCTACTACCTCTTCGGCTGGGTCGGAACTCCCTCGCTGCGAAGCCCGCAGCGCAGGGCCCTCTTCTCCCTGGAGGAGAGGCTGGGGGGAGGCTCTGTGCCGCCAGCTCTTGCGTCTCTGGGAACAGAAGCCGCCTTGTACTGGCTCGTTACTACATCCAGCTGCTTTTCGGGTAGCCAGCGCGGCCTGGGGTTGGGTTTGGAAGCACCCTGGGTGCCGTCAGCGCCGCTGTTCGGCCAAGGACGTGCCGCTGGGAGCAGCGTGGCGTAACGCTCGTCTCGCGCCCTTTCGTTTAACGGGAAGGTTTCCGGCGATGTCACGCAGGGTCTGCTGACGCCTGGGGTGTTCGCTGGGGCTCAGAGTTTAATGCTGCTGCCAGCACTGGGACTTTTGATAGCGAACGGGTTTTTACAGCCACTTTGGATACTCGTTTTTACTGCCCAACAAACGTTCTGTCTTTATTACGAAGGCTTTGTGTACGTTCCACTAGCTTTTTCCAGGTGTTTGTATGGTTTCTGCAGCTGAATGTCCTCTCTGTTCTGCGCTGCCGTTTTCTATTACGGTTTGTACTAGGAGCCTGCCCGGTTTGTACCGTCCTGCGGGCAAGGACTGCATTAAAACCGTTTTTGGCTAATTTGTACTTGTGAATGGTTATTCCCTGTGACTTAGCCTATGCTGAGGGACCACCTTCCCTCTCTGGGAGCCTTACGCAACCTTAGTTACTGCAGTGACTGCTCGGGGCGGGCAAGGTTCTGTATCTGTCAGAGAAAGGGTTTGCTAAAGGCTGCCCCTTTCTTAGGAGGTGCCGGCTGGGGCAGCCCAGGCCCCCGCGTTCGCTCACGCGGCGAGAGGACGGAAGCCCTCTGCCTGCCGTGGCGTTCTCTGCTCGGCACCTCTGCGAGCATGGATGCACTTAAACAGCAGTAAGGGACGATGCTGCCTTCATGCGCACGTTTTCCCAAAGTCACGCTAAGGTAAGCAGTAACTAGTTCAGTGTTGGATATTGTGTACTTGGCGCCAGGGGACTGAAAGCCAATGGAGGAATTTGGCAGCGGATGTAGGTTTAATCCGATCGCTACGATTCCCGCACCGACTGTTCAGAAGGGGCGCTAAGCCGCAAGGGCTGCGTTTGCCTTTCGACTTCAAGCCCCGCTGCTCTGCGACCAGAGCTAGAAACAGAGTTCACCTTCTAGCCGTAGCTCTCCTTTCCCTAAAAGGGTCAGTGATGCTGATTCAACCCCAGGTTCAGGGGACGACACGGAGGTGCTGTGCAGCTCTAGTCAGTGCTGCTCTCACCCTGTTTGCCAGGGCACGTGCGCTGCGGCAGGAAGCTGCTCTGTTCAGTACCACGGAGCAAGGCAACTGTGGATGTTTCACTGTTTGAAGTCATCTACACGGAGCAAAATTCAGAGTTGTGTCTTCAGTTCTTGGACACCATCCAAAGAGTGAAACTTCTGCCAACACTTGGGTGTGACTGCTGCGAAACGCACCGAGTTCCAAGTGCGCCCGTCGCCTCGGAAGCGTCGGGAGCAGCTGTACCCGCGGACCCGGAGCGAGGCAAACATTACCACTGGAAACAAAGTACGCACCCTTGCGATTTAGTCCTTTTATTTGCTCCTGCAAGCAGCCGCGAGAGAGGCTACAGAAGAATAAATAAGGTAAAGCAGAGAGCGTAGCAGTTTGTACGCCCCAACACTGAGATGCTCGGCGTTGTCATGACGGAGTGCTTTGTACGGTACCGATCCGCTGTTCAGGCAGTAACTGGCCGCAGTAATCCGAGTCAAGTATTTCCCCCTTTGCCCAAAACAATTTTAAACATGCCCTCAACCAACTCAACAATAATAAAACGTAGAAAAAACCTTTTGTAATGTAATACAGTCACATCCGTTTGCTCCAAGTGTGTCAGTCGGTTCCAAAATACTTCTGTCCAAAGTGTGTCGGTGCAACAGGATGAACCTCTGTAGTCAGAATCGTGATCTCTGGGAATTCCTGGATGATAGATTTGGCACCTGTAGAGAGAGGGTGAAGGCAGTAATGATGACAGCTCGGCAGCGGTAGCCAGCGCCACTGCTACGTCACCATTACCAGAACCCCGTAGCTAAGTCAGGCTCTGTTCTTCCACCTCCGCTGCCTGTTCTGCCTTAGCTGTCTGTGAGGAAAAAATTCCTGAGTGTAGTGGATTGCTGGTTTGGGTTTTCCATCCGGCTTTTTCTTTACCATACACATTCCCAGTCTCATCCCCAAAGGGGTTACAGACTGCCAGGAATAACTGCACTTCAGCTGACATTTTTGATAGTGCTTTCTGCCGATTTTTAAAACAACACACAAGATCCATTTTCCTACTGCACAGCAACAGGTGCTCCTTCTCTGGATCCCCTGATACAAACTAAGACCTGTAACGTGCAGACAGGACAGTTCTGTGGCTTCACTCACCTCACACCCCACACATAACTGTTGGTGGAGGGCCAACACCATCAGCTGTGGCCTGCCACAGCCCAGGGCACGGCAGGATCGGCGTTGCTCTCTGAGCTACTGAAGCCCTTGGTGTGCCTGGCAGCGCTGCAAATTCCTGCTTTTAGGAATGTGCAGTTACTGTTTGCAGTTCTGCCATGAGGTCGACCAGGCCTTTTCCTTCCTGCTAGCCCGCTGCGCTGCCCACACCAAACACGTCGCTGCTCACTCCCAGTCCTCCAGTTCAGCCGAAAAAAGAAGACAACCCCTCCCTTCTGAGCAAAGCGACGCTGCTGGCGCTGTTTCAAGGAACAGCTCTTCGCTGGCTGAGGCGCATGACTAATGCCACTCTTCCCCAGTAAACGTACCTGTGCTCACTTGCACCCCCTCAACTTACCGTGAGGTGTGGAGAATAGGCTGAGCAGGATAATGACACTTGGTTGCACGCCGTGTTCCACGAGAACTTTGACAGCCTCAATGACAGTGTTACCAGTACCTAAAAGGGCAAAAAGTGGGATTTTTATTCCTCTCCCCAGCTGAAGAACTTGTCCGAGGCCACCCGAGAACACCCATGTTAACAGTGGTGTGGGACTGAAGGATGACACTGTCATAGAATCACAGAATGGTTTGGGTTGGAAGGGACCTTAAAGATCATC